GATGGTCTCGATCTCCTGACCTTGTGATCCGCCCGTCTCGGCCTCCCAAAGTGCTGGGATTACAGGCTTGAGCCACCGCGCCCGGCCAGTATCTTTTAGTGTTACATGAGTTAAGAAATGGTGGGTATATGTACACATATTTAGCACACTTATAAGTCAGGCCTTTAACAGGTAGTTCCCTCCTAAATTATTGTCATCTATGGAATTTCACAATTTGTGTGAAAAATAATTTTTTGTTATGTAACTTTATTATAATCCATTTTCATTCATGTTGAATAGATTTTTAACATGACAAGTACACTGAGAAAAATAACATTTAGAAGTTTGTTTTGTTTTGTTTTTTTGAGATGGAGTCTCACTGTTTGCCCAGGCTGGTGTGCAGTGGCGCGATCTCAGCTCATTGCAACCGTCTCCCAGGTTCAAGTGATTCTCCTGCCTCAGCCTCCCGAGTTGCTGGGATTACCAGCACGTGCCACCATGCCTGGCTAATTTTTGTATTTTTAGTAGAGACTGGGTTTCATCATGTTGGCTAGGCTGGTCTTGAACTCCTGACCTCAAGTGATTTGCCTGCCCCGGCCTCCCAAAGTGCTGGGATTACAGGCATGAGCCACCGCGCCCAGCCTAGAAGTTATTTGGTAAATCTTTGTCCACATTACTCTTTCTGCCCATCTATATACAGATAAGTATGGTTCATTCCCTTTTGGTTAGGGGAGGTTTTTTTTTGCTGGCCCAGACTGCCTTGTTGAGTTTGGTGTCTGTGTGCATAGCTGGTGCTCCCATCCCCTTCATGGTGAATTTCTGGATCTTCTTGAATGCTTGAGTTGCGTGCTTATTGAACCTCTACTCCATTTATATATTTTTGAATGTTGATAATGTCTCAAGTCTGCCTCATGTATGACAAAACAGCCCTTTATTTTTTCCTAATCACCTTTCTTTGCAGGAGACATTACACTGGAACCATTTTGAAAATGAAGAACTTTTTGATAATTAGTGTTGGTACAGGTTTATAACCTTTCTGGAAAAGAAAAGATTAGAATCATTCCTGGCAGTGTAAAGCAGGATAAAGTCCCAATAAATCAGGAGATATATATGTAAGAACAAAACAAAAAGAAACTTTACCAGTACTAGAAGTAAACATGGGCAAATTTCTTTATGACATGGGAATTAGGAAATCAATAACTGTGACTCAGAAATCCAGTAAAAATGAGGAAGAATCAATAATTTTTTGTGGGACTACAAATATAAACAAATTGGAGATGTCTGCAACTTATGTGACAGTCATTCACTTAATACATGTAAACATGTAAAAACTGAGATGTGAAAGATCCTACAGCCTGATATAGAAATAGGCAAAAGACATAAATAGGTATTTTATAGGAAAAGATAAATTAAAGACCCTTAAACCTTTAAGAAGATGCTTCATATTCCTCATAAAGAAAATGCAATTTATACTGCATATCACTTTTTGACAATCAGACGAGGAAAAATCCAAAAGTATATTAAAATACTCATATTGGCAAGACTGGAGAAAGAAGAATTCATATTGTGAAAATGTGAAACTGTACAACTCTTATAAGAGGGAACTGAATAATGTCCATGTGCAATCTTACATGCATATATCATGTGACCTAGGCTGCTTGCTTCTATCCGGAAGATACACTGATAAGATTATGAAGTGTAGTATGCACACAGGAATGTAAATATTTGTAAATGCAACAGACTGGAAAGATTTCCAGCAATGGATGGGCTGAATTAACTCTCAGATATATACGTACAAGGTGTATTGTGCAACTGTGTATTTCATAATCCTCAGATTATATTTCATAATCTTCAGATTATGTTATATAAAAAATAGGAGGGTGTAGAATAATGTGCTAATTTTTGTGAGAAGGGCGGACTGCTATATATGTTTATACTTTCTCTTTTTTTTTTTTTTTTGAGATGGAGTCTCACTCTGCTGCCTAGGCTGGAGTGCACTTACACAATCTGCCTGGCTCAGTGCAACCTCTGCCTCCTGGGTTCAAAAGATTCTCCTGCCTCAGTCTCCTGAGTAGCTGGGACTACAGGCATGCGCCACCATGCCCAGCTAGTTTTTATATTTTTAGTAGAGACGGGGTTTCACCATGTTGGCCAGGATGATCAAGATACCTTGACCTTGTGATCTGCCTGCCTTGGCCTCCCAAAGTGTTGGGATTATAGGCATGAACCACCGCGCCCAGCTATGTTTATACTTTCTTTTCTTTTTTTTTTTTTTGAGATGGAGTCTCACTCTGTCGCCCAGGCTGGAGTGCAGTGGCCGGATCTCAGCTCACTGCAAGCTCCGCCTCCCAGGTTCACGCCATTCTCCTGCCTCAGCCTCCCGAGTAGTTGGGACTACAGGCACCCGCCACCTCACCCGGCTAGTTTTTTGTATTTTTTAGTAGAGACGGGGTTTCACCGTGTTAGCCAGGATGGTCTCGATCTCCTGACCTCGTGATCCACCTGTCTCGGCCTCCCAAAGTGCTGGGATTACAGGCTTGAGCCACCGCGCCCGGCCGCTTATACTTTCAAAACACAGTGGAAGGATAAGCCAAGACCTAATCAAAATGATGAAATAATAGGTGGGAGTGGGGTGTGGTAGTGCATGCCTGTAATCCTAGCTACCTGGGAGGATATGGTAGGAGGATCCCTTGAGCCCAGGAGTTCAAGTGCAATCTGGACAACAGAGCAAGATCCCTATCTCTTAAGAAAAATTAAAATACAACCCATAGGTGGGAGAGAGCAAGGTTGGAAAGTAGCCACCTTTGATTTTACCTTGTTTTTATCTGAGAATCATTTTACAGCCTCACAGTAAAGAATATTTCCTAGACAAAACATTTTAACTAGAAAAGTATGGCATATTCATATTAATTTTATTATTCTATTGACTGAAAGTCACCATTAACAGAATGAACAGATGTCTGCTTCTGGTCAAATGGAGAAACAGACCAGATTTACCCTTATATCTGTAAATACTAAAAAGCTAAACAAAATAGGTGAAACAATGGTTTTTAGGACATTGAATATACAAAAATGTCAATTTCCAATGAAGAACAGTGATCCCTGAAAAAACAGAAATAAATTTTTCCTCCAGTT